GCGGCGGCTGTTATGGGGAGCAGGATCCGGTGCCGGCGCGATTCCAGGGCCGGGTCAAAAGGGCTCCAGGCAGGGCCCTGGCTTCAGAGAGCTGCTTATCGGCTCTGCAGGTCCCACAACCAACCTGACAACCAGCTGCCAGAGAGCTCCAGAGAGGGGGGGCAGGTCTCAGCCTCCAGGGGGCCACTTAAGGGTGGGGGCCCTAGCTGCTACCGTCATACACACAATAAATCTACAACCTTCCCCCCCCCCCCTTTTTGGATGCCTTCCAGATTTTGCAAGGTGAGACCCATGCGCTGGCTCACCCAAAGCCCCATCAGCCCGGGAGCAGAGGAAAGGCACCAGCTGAAGGGAAACCCCCCACCTTTGCCCCCAGTTCTCCAGGCTGCTCTTAGCCCACGTGCCAAGACCCAAAGCGGGGACCTGCCGGCTTTGCTGCAGGTGGCGCAGACCGGAAAGGTCGCAGGGACATTCGCTAAGCCCCCAAGCCCCCCGGGAATTAGCAGGGCAGGGGTTGACAGCCTCTGGGCCCAGGACCAGGGCAGCCCAAGGGAGACCCCCACGTGCCCCCTGCCATGAGCTAGAAGGGACCCTGCCTCCAGGTCTCCTTCAGGCATGGACTCTGCTGAGCCTGCCAGGTAACCCAGCCTCTCCAGGGCCCCGGGGGGGGGGGGCACTCTCTTTTCTGCTTTCTCTTCGAGCAGGCAGGTGATAAAGGAGCTGCACTCTGTCCCACAGCCCCACCCCAGAGAATCCGAAATCCTCCCCAGCCACGCCCAGCCCTTGCTGCGGAGGGGGGGCACGGCGCGCGGCACGGGCAGGGCAGCAGAGAATCTGGGGCAGGGTGGATGAAGGAGATTTCTATTTCCAGCCCGCTGCTCCGGGGGGACGGCTCTGCAGCAGGGGCTCTGCAGCAGCCCCCGGATCCGAGGGGGGAAGCAACAGGGGACAGGAACGTTCCCAAGTGCCCCCACCCCTGCTGGACCCTGGGTGGAGCGGGGAGAACCTCCCCTTCACCCCTGGGGCTACCCCCACCCAAGCCAGAAGGGACTCACTTTTCACACCAGTCAGGTGGACAGCTGCAGCCCCCCGGAGACCCGCTGCTCCTGCTTCCTCCCCAGGGAAAGACGGGGGCCAGCACGTTTGCTGCAGGGGGGCTTTATTTAGGATTGGCCCAGGCAGGGGGTGGGGAGGGTGAAGCTACAGGGGGCTGCCCCAGCACCAGAAGCCCCAGTGCAAAGGGGGGGGGAGGGGGAGGATTGCTACAGCAAAGGGAAGTCACGCCTGACCCCGGGGACTGGAACAGTAGCACAGCCTGGGCCAAGCACTAAGTCACGGGCCCAGGTGGGTGTGCCGGGAGCCGGAGCGCTGGCAGCTGGGCCCGAGGCAGGACTCACTGGCAGGAGAAATCCCATTGCTGGAAGGGAAGAGAGTAGAGGGATCAGACACAGGCAAATGGGGGAGACAAGTTGAGGGGGGGGTCCTAGACTGGGGGGGCTGGGAGGCAGGACTCTGGGGAACGGGGACTAGTGGGTAGAACTGGGGGGCCAGGACTCCTGGGTTCTATCCCCAGATCTGCCACCCCTGCAGTCTCTCCTCCCATCTCAGTGCCCTAGGCATGGAGCGAAGATGCCAGCCCCCCAGGGCCAGGCGCTCTGCATGCTGTGGTCTCTGGGTGGTGGCAGCCCCCCCTGTGGTGTGGGGAGCCCTCCCCCCTCCCCAGCAATACTTGGGTGCCCACGTGCTGCGGCTCGGCTACTCACATCGGTTTTGACCTCCACCTTCCCCGGCTTGAGGTACTGGTTCTCCTGGACTACGCTGCTGGGGAAGAAGCCCAGGCGGGCGGGGTGCTCCCCGTAATAATCCCCCTGCACCTGCGGGGAGGAGATTGGGGGGGGGCTTAACCTGGGGTGCCAAGACCCCTGACATCAGTCCCTCCCCCACAGAGCTGCAGCCTGGGTGGGGCAACCCCCCCCCCCTTGCCCATGGGGCCCTCCCAGGACCTGAGACCCAGCAAATGTCACACAGGAGCCCACCAGGCTGAGATGGGATCTGGTGCTGGGGGGCTGGCACTGGTGATTTGGGATTGCGGGGGTCAGGCCCAGCCCTCTGCGTGGCCCTGGGTCCCGCTCCACCAGGGGCACGATGCCAGGATGGGGGCTGATGCCCCAGCAGAGCCCAGGGAAACCCCCCGCCCGCCTCCAGCCACTCACGCTGCCGCCCCAGAACAGTCGCCCGCGGCCCTTCAGCTTGGAGAAGACGTAGACGACCTGCCCGCGCTGGATGGGGACGAAGCGGCAGTCGGGGGCGATGTAATCCTGCACAGCCACCGCAATGGAGATCGGATCTGGGGGGGGTGGGCGACAGAGCGGGGGGAGGGGTCATTCCCTGGGCCCGGGCACTGCACCTCCACCAGCACCCCCCGCCCCCCCCCAGCATGGCCCTGCCCTATCCCACCGCCACACCATGGCCCTCAACCCCCATGCTGCCCTGTGCCACCAGCCAGGCCCCCCAGCACCACCCCACATGCAGCCCCTCGTGCTCCCCCCCCCCCCACCCACACACACACTTACGGCTGCAGTCGGCGTCCGCACACAGCTTCTTCTCGGCCAGCCTGCCCAGCCGCCGGCCCCCCTGCACCAGCCCCAGCAGGGCGCCCAGCAGAGCGGCCCGGGCCCAGAGCCGGGTGGTAGCCATGGTGGGCGAAATGCAGCCGCCCCGGGCTCAGACTGCCCCCACAGGGAGGGCAGCCCGGCCCGCCCCAGCTGTGTTTCTAGTCACCGCCCTGAGCCCTTTTCGGAGATCCCGGAGCAGCCACCCCATTGGGCAGAGCAGGTGCCGATTCCTCCGGCAGGGGGCCCCTTGCCCCCATGGCGGTGCCGAGCCTTGGCTGGCACTAGGGGGCGCCCTTTCCTGAGTGAAGGCTGAGCCCTGCAGCTGCACTGGGGGGCCGTGCTGCCAATGGGGGACCCCGTGGCTGTCAGGGGGCCATGCTACCAGGAGCAGGTACCAGGTTTTGGATAGAATGTCGCCCCTGCGTCCTGACCATTCCCGCTCCCCCAGCCCTCGGGGATGCACGTCCCAGACACCAGCCGGGGCAAAGCCCTTCTCTGGCCTTGGGGCTCTCCCGGGATAGGGCCGGTTGCCTCCGACCGCGTACTGCTGGTGCTGCTTTGGTCCAACCCAGAGGTGGCTGCATGTCCACAACAGACCAGCAGTCTTCACGCCAGGCCGCGCAGAGAGCGCGAGAGGAGGGGAGATAGAATCCCATCCCCCGGCAGTGGGGCACGGCCCAGTCACCAGCTCCGAATTCTCTGCCCCCTTCCGCTCCGCTTTTTAAAATCATCCAGTGCCACAAACTCAAGGCGGGAGCGAGGGCGAGCGGGGCCGGCTGCTGACGCAGGGGCCGGCTCTCGGGTAACATACTGGGCCCATTGTCCCAAGGCTCACTACAGCAGAGGCCCACAGAGGGGTAGGACCCTGCCGAGAAGCTGCACTGTCAAAGCTCCCACCCACCCCCAGCCCTGTGTGGGAGGGGGAGGCCCCTGAAGCCCCCCTCACTTCAGAAGCTCCTTGTGGCAGCGGTGGGATCCCACTTTGAGGCAGATGGCACCAGGTCACTACGTGGCACAAGTACTAGCTCGTGCCAGCGCCAGTTTCCTGTGCTCTGCGACTCAACACATCAGACCCCCCCCCCCACCCCCGCCAAGAGCCGGGGATGAGTCCCACCCACGGGGGGCTGCTAGGAAGCCTCGGACCCCCAGCAACTGCAGGGCTTCTCTCAGGCAGCCGGGGGGGGAACAGACTAGCTCTGAACCCAATGGAGGAGGTAGGCAGTCACCTCGGGGGGGGGACCTCCATAGTCAAACCCCAGCCCCTGGTGATGCCTCTTCCGCACTGGGCGCCTGACCCCTCCCAGGCACCCGCTTCACCCTGTTCTCTCCCAGCATGCGATGCTCCACGCAGCCGTGCATCCTCGCATCTCTAGGCTCCGTGTTAAAGGCAGCAGGGACAAGCTGCTCGGACCAGACAAGCCCCCCCCCAAAGCCTTCTGGGATAGTGGTGGGGTAAGCCCAGAATTCACCAATTTCACAATCACTGGGCTGGGAGTAATTCCCTTCAGCTCCCGCCCCTGCCTGGGGGCTTGGCTCAGAGCCATCTCTCAGGACACAGGCTCAGACTCCCACGCAGAGAATCCGGCGGGTCGATTTCACCCCACCCCACCGGGAAGCCAAGCGAGGAACAGGCCAGTCGCGGCAAAGGGGGGGTCACAAAGGAGCTTTTATTACAGAACAGAGAGCGCCAGGTGCAATGTCTGAGCAGCAGACTCTGGGTACAATGCTTCAGGAGGGTAGTAGCCGCCCCCACCCCCTGTACCAACCATCCCGCCACGAACCAGCTCCAGGCTTGTCGCAGACGCAGAGATCACCAGCTGGGGGCGCTCCAGAGTCACTTACCCACTCTGAGCAGCAAGGCAGCATGGCGTGCAGGGGGGACACTTCCACACCGTCAGTTCCAAGGCTCAGGGGAATGGGGGTGTTTGGGGCTGGTAATCCGGCTGGCCCTGAGGGCAGACTTACCTTCCAGGGAACTGATAAAAAACAGGGGGGGCCTGGTTCAGAACAGACTAACGGGGGAGTGGGGAGGGGCAGTTCTGGGCTTGGGGAGAAGGGGGGGGCGCTTCACTTCTTGGCAAAGGAAATCTTCATGGCATTGCTCTGTGTGATCTTGAAGCCCTGGAGGGCGTCGCGGGCGGCTCCAGCCTGCACCTCGTTATCGAACTCCACAAAAGCGATGTCGTGCCGCCCGGGCACCAGGCGCACCTCCTTGAACCCCGGGAACCTGGGAGGGCAGGACCTGGCTGTTAGAGGGGACAGGCCCCCAGATCACTAGCACCCACCCCCGCTCCGCTGGCCTCGCAAGCGCCATGCTCCCTTGGACCGCCCACTTCCACCCCCTGCCCTGGGACCGTCCGCCCAGGACCGTCTGCCCCCCACTCGGCCCTCCCAGCTCCCTCAGGCCCCACACTCACTGATTGAAGAGCATGGACAGCATCAGCTCGTTGGTCTCCTCTGGCAGGTTGGTGAGGAAGAGGATGTGATTGGGTGGGTTCTCTGAGGGCTGC